TTTTTATTGGCTTTGTCCTTAAAGAGAACAAAGAAAGTTTGAACTTGGCAGATAGGTTTATCCTTGTGCGTTGTGTGAGTGTATGTTACATGTTTATACTGATATGAATATATAGAGTTTATGGAAGATAGTGTTGTTTGAGTTTTGAACTTAAGATCTTCTTTTGTAGAAAAATTTAAAAGTTGACATGGTCATTTTTTTATGAGTTATTGATATTTGATAGTTCACTTTGAATCTGATTGACACTTTGCTTACCTGCCAATACAATTTAATTTTATGATTTTCTTGAGTAACTGCTGAGACCCGTTTATCAAATACAAGCATTCTCCCTCCCAAACGCTCTGTCTTTGGAACTTCATACATGTAGTTTTTATCACAATTAGCTAGGACTCACCTGGAGACTAGGGTTTTTGGCTGCAAATAGCAAACTTCTCCACTGTGAAGCAGTCATCCGAGCTCCACAGCCCAACAATCATGGCAGAACAGGTAATCTTAATTCTTAACCATTTTGTGTAATGTAAATTGGATACCTTTTCTATTTGCTGATAGAGAATGCGTTTTTGAAGCAGCTCTGGTAGGATTTGGCATCATTTTTCTATGCACAACTATATTCATGCAAATGTAATTGTTTCGTGGTAAGAAATTGGGATTTTGCATCTCAAAGAAGTCGGAGAAAGGTAAAGCGCTAGGGAAGGGCGGCAATCGCTACTGGAAAAGCAGGTTGGGTTCAAAACCCAGTGCGAGGCAATCGAAGGTGTGGGCTTGTATTCTCGTGTGTGTGTGTGTGTGTCCGTGCTTCTGTTTTGAACATTTTATCCATATATTTGTGTGAGTTTTAGGCTCGTGTTATTATCTAATGGTGATGTTATGCATAATAAAATTTTCTACTCAATGTGGTTGATTTTTATTCTCTTTTAGTCTTTTTATGTTTACAATGGTGCAAAAATCTGTTTCTAATCTGCAATGAATCTGGAAAAAATTGTTTACATTGGTCCAACTAGAAAGGCTTATTCTGTTTCTAATGAATGTTACATGCGCATAATGATGTTCTATAATAACAGATGAATAGAGCATCCAATAGACGATCAAAATTCAATATTATATATACTAATCGCTATTTGTACATGGCAAAAAAAGTACTATTCTGCTTAGCATCTAATATCCATTCAAGATCTTTATGATTGATTATTGTACACTAGAAAGTAGGAAATAAGGACCATGCGGTATATGAATGTTTTTCAGATTAGCTATGAGGTCTATTCCACCTTGGAATAAAATTTTGCTGCAGGTTCATGTTTTACTTAAGCCATTTGTTTTTCTCTTTCTCTCTCTTTTTTTATAAATGATATAAGACTAATACTTCTGATAATTTAAATGAATTATCGAGTCAAAACTACTATTTCACATGCATTTTTTTCTCTACTGTGTATGTTTGATGTTGGTTGAATGATTGGTTTCCTTTGTCTGCTTAATTTGAATTCTTGGATAACACAATGAAAGATGTAATAGTTGGTTTTTATTAAGGGGTCTCAGTGAAGAGCGATGGCATTTAGGTTGACTACTTTTCAACTTTCATATTTTGTAACTTAGCCCACTTACATGGATAAAAAAATTAGAAAATAAATATCAATCTACTTTTATCTAGATAGAAAGATTTATGAATTGAATTTTGTTTTTGTTGGACAATCATTGGCTGCGTCTTTTCCTTTTTCATTATCTGTTTTCATAATTGTCATGTTTCTTTCATTTTTGGCAGCGATTATCATGTGAAACTCAAACGCGTTTGCATATATTTGAAGATGTGGCATTGGATTTATTAAATATTTAGTTCTGAAGGCATGTTATGGGGAAGAAGTGTATCATCTTAAGCGCCGAACCAATTTTCCAAGTAATTTCATTTACCTTTTTACTTTGTAATTTGTGAAAAAAACATCTCTAGCGTGTCCTTGTGTAACCGTTAATCCTGATTTCGATGGCTTGTCCAGGTGTGGGTAAGAGTTGCTATTTCTTGCGTTTTTTCGATTGTTCTTTCACCACCAGTTTCATTATTACCATCTCCTGGCTCATACATATGATTCTTTATTATCATACAAGAATGATTTCAGGATAAGAATTGTTGAGCTTGACGGAAAAAGGATCAAACTGCAAATATGGGATACTACAGGTAAAAAATGAATCAGAACTATCACAACTGGTATGAATAAGAGAGATGATGGAAATGCGTTTCTTCTTTTTCTTTTTCTTTTTTTTTTAATAGAGATATAAGCTATTTAAAGCTATTTAATCTGCATCAAGTTTCTTCCATGAACGAGTAATGTTGTATATCTATAGCATCTATCGGTTTCCAGTAATCATATGTAACAAGTGTCGAAAGTAGTATTTTTATCAATTTATTGTTGTATAGGATGCCTAGATGATGTCAATGATGGAAAGCAAATTGAATAATATTGAAGGGACAATTGAAATGTGGGAGCAATGATAGACCCTTTTGTTTTCCTTCATGTTTTCGTATGTTCACTTTTCATTCTCTTTTTTTTTTTCACTGATTTTTGTTAGCGCGTCCATAATTCCAAAATTTTGGTTTTAAAGGGAAATTTGGCCAAAGAAAAAAAGGTACCTCCTTTGGTTATAATAGAAGTAGTTTTGGGATCTTTTATTTTATTAAGAAAAAAATAAATTTCACTAGATTTTAGACTAACTTTAGGTCGGGCGTGCGTGCACGGCCGCAAGACAACTAGTATATATATATATATAATTAGGGGTTATCCCATTAATGCAAATTTTTTTCCTTTTTTCGCTCTTTTTGGAAGGGGTTAATTATGGAAAAAGATTTATATTGTTCTATTTCATTGTATAAAAACCTAACTAAGAGTCATTAATTTAACGATTTAATGATAAATGTGATACATACAGTTATATAAAATTTTATTTTAATTAAAGTTTTTATATATATATTTATTTATTTTTGGTAAGCTGTTCATGTGCACATGATTAATACTAGTCTCTATTTATTAGCCTATACTTCTAAATATTATGTAGGTATGTATGTACTTTAGCCTATAGAGAAAAATTTCCAATAAAACAGTTAATCCTGAAAATAGATCACATAATTAGAACAATAATACGTTAAATTACATAATTAAAATATTAATATGATATTCACTACTAATCCCGAAAATAGATTACATAAGTCTTTTTTTTAAACAAAAATTTTAATAATTAAAAACTAAACACCGAACAGAAGTAAGAATTTCGGTATGTTTTTTCGATTTTAGTCAAACTTTGAACACCCCTAGGTGAGAATGTGAGAATGAAATGAGAGGGCCCATAATTTTTATTTTTTTTGGTTAATGGGTGAGACTTTGATAAACTGAGAGGGTCATAATTATTACTTCTAAGTTATTACTAATTAGTTATTAGTAATTTAGTATTAAGTATTTAAGTTATTAACTATTGAAATTAAGTTATTTTTTAATTCCTTATTGGTTCGTTTTGATAAAACCGAACCTATGGTTTCAAAACGGATATTGAACCAGTAACATATCGGTAACCAACAATCGGTTACCATTATAAATGAATCAATACGGTTCTATTTTTTCTCGTCGGTTTAGTTTGGTTTTCGGTCAAAAAATGCCAGTTCTATTTAGTACTATTTTTGGTAATATTTTTTTTTACATATTATAATCTACTAACAAAATAAATTATGTAATTGTGAAATATTGGAATTCAGTTATCAGATAGTATTTATACCTACATCAATTATCAAAGCTAAATAGCAAAAGAAAAAAAAATGCATTTAAAAAACTATTACATTTTTTGTTGCACATTTAATATTTTTATCAAATACCTGTGTAATACGCGGGTATCGTACTAGTTAAAATATTGTTTCGACAAATTTACATAATTTGACATTTAACTATCATATTTTAAAATATAGTATAAACAAAAGTATGACATTTCACAATAAAAGTATAAATCTTTTGTACGCAAGTGCTATTACCATATGGAGGCAGCCTAACAACAATATTTGTGTTTTTAAAAAATTCCTAAGTCCATCGCTTTATATAAGTGTGTCATAAGAGGTTTTTTAATCCATTGACGAATTAAGTGTACTACGGTGATGGCAAGGAGGGCACTAAAAATCTCGTATAACAATGACAAATGAGAATGTGACTTATATAACACTTAAACTCTTCTCTCATCATAGAGGA